TTAATTAACCCTTTGACCACTGTGGGGGTCTAAAGGCGCTTAGAAATCTTGGGCTTTGTGATACTCTAGGCGTCTAAAGGCACTCCAAAGTTTTGTTTGCTGTTAAATTTGAAGTATGTTCAGTAACCATTTAATACAGAATGCAAAGAAATAAACAATGCAAAAGAAATAACTATCTTTATTCTATCCTTAGGAAGGTATACCTTATGTATTCTGACTGCCCGCGTGGAGAGACAAAAATAAAGATGAAAAAGGGTATGCAATTGTAGCTCGTCCTGATCCCCTAATTTTTATCTAACACATTCCCGGAACCTCCTCGTGGAATCAAAGATATATCAAATATATATCTATTTCTCCTAAGAGATTGATTTTTGTATATACGTTAAGACGTATCTTATTTTCAACATAGTGGAAAATAGTGTTTTGATTATTAGTTAAATTGTGAGAGGAGTCTTTATTTGGACGGCATCACCCTGCATCGGGATCTATGTTTGCTGAGAGGAACCATCAAGCTTATCAATTTTCGAAGCAGGACTGAGTGACGCAATGGGTCGTCATAGGGCCTATGAGAACCTGGCTGAAAGGTTCGAGGGAACACACTCTCTTTCGACAAATTAGCGTCTGCATCACGCAGACACCTTAAAAAGACTAAAGCCTCCGTGCATTTGTACCGCAAGGAAATAATATAACGTGAAAAATATAAGTTAAAAGTTCAATTTTATAAATCCGATCCTTACTACACTTTATAGCAGAAAATTTGTCAACTCGTACCCTTCTTTAGCCAAAAAATTATCGAATGCAAAGGGTTAATGTACAATAGTAGAGTGTAGAGTGTGTCAAGACTTAGAGTTTAGAGTTTGAGCAGAGTCAGCGTGGAATTAGTCTAGCCTTAAACTGTACTAAATAATGGTCCATATCTTAAATATACTTTATCCTTATTAAAGTCAAAACCGTGTTCTTTGTGCTGTTCATGCTGTTGCCCTATTTCTTTCTCATTCTTCACCCTTGCGTTAATATATCGAATTTAAAACTACCCAACTATGCTTCTACGTGGAATGTCGAAGTAAAATTGTTCTACGTCCTAATTTAGATGCGATTTCTTATTAACCGGTTTAAAATATCGTCGACTTTGTGACGTAAAGTCCTCGACTTACTATTTTCCTGTAACGAAAATTCGCCGAATGCGAAGAATTATGTTTTGAAGAAATTTTTCTCAAAGGACGCCGGGCAAACGCCACGTGTACCACTTGTGCGCAGTTCCTGGCGTCAGATATGGCGGATGACGCAAGGAAAAGCACTGCGACGTCGCGTTGCAAGACGTAACTATTTTTTTCTTTACATTTCTTAGTTCTCTTCGGATAGCAGACTAGCTAACACGTGTCACATCGAGACTGTTACATTCCTGTTACTCTACATCGTTCTAATCCTCTCGTTAATAAATACAGCTCTATCATCGAAGAAATCTCAAGAATTTCGGATTCCAAGTAGAGCAGCCAATGAATTTGACTTAATCTGATAATTATAATTCGAATAATTGGATATTATTCTCCTGTCTTACCGTTTAAGTTGCAATGGCGCGTGCCAGAGTCAACAGCAACGTCGGGCACGTTGAGTCACGACGAGATACGTTGGACACGACGAGGCACTTGGTCTAAACACGACAGAGAATAACACTCGACTGAGGCAGGAAGACATCGGCGAAAATGAACCCAAACTTGATACGCGATGTTTACGTTTGCCCTATCTACGAACCATGGCTCTCGCCTGTGATACTCGTGTTCGGCTCGATTTCCTTATTTAGAATCTAACGATATTGTAGGGGAAGGCTAATAACACGACTGCCACGGTGGTCCCCGATGGCCGATGACACTAACATTTTATATTTATTCTATCGAAAATTTTAACAACGTAAATAGATAGAGAACACCAATAATCTGCTTTTTTTCTTCGTCCTATTGTTTGATACTCCGTCATTATATCCTAAAAATGGAAACTCGGGTGGTCCCCAATAACCGATGATACTAATATTTTATATTTATTTTGTCGAAAATTTTAACAAAGTAAATAGAGAGCGAATACCAATAATCTGCGCCATTTTTCGCCATATCGTTTGACAATCCGTCATTATATCCTAAAAATGGAAATTTGGGTGGTCCTCAATAACCGATAATACCAATATTTTATATTTATTTTAGTGAAAATTTTAACAATGTAAATAGATAGAGAACACCAATAATCTGCGCCATTTTTCGCCATATCGTTTGACAATCCGTCATTATATCCTAAAAATGGGAATTTGGGTGGTCCTCAATAACCGATGATACTAATATTTCATATTTATTTTATTGAAAATTTTAACGTAAATAGATAGAGAACACCAATAATCTGCGCCATTTTTCGCCATATCGTTTGACAATCCGTCATTATATCCTAAAAATGGAAACTCGGGTGGTTTTGAATAACCGATGATACTAATATTTTATATTTATTTTGTCGAAAATTTTACCAACGTAAACAGATAGAGAACGCTAATAACCCGTGCCATTTTCCGCCATATTGTTTGACAATCCGTCATTATATTCTAAAAATAGAAACTTCGTACAACCCAAACGCGTTGTACATATATAAAGCTGTTATTCGTACCGTACCTGCTACCTGTCCGGTTCTACCAGCACTTACAAGAACTCTTCTATATATCTTCGTGAAAGAATGAAGAATTTCGAGGATAATAAGCGAACCGTCAAAGGAAAAGAAGGATATTTTCCGCAGCTTTCTAACCGGTGATCGGAATCGAGAAGTAGGCCGAGAGCGTGCCCGTTCAGCCGGCCACCGTGTACTACGCGCAAAAACTAGCCTCACTTTCTCTTCCATCTCTTTTTTCCCGCGACGATCACTCGTGAGAAAAAAATCCCAGAACTCCTTGGCTATCGTTATTATATCGTTAGTATATTAGAGCAGCGCTAGTATATCGGTAGTATATCGCGGTACACCGCGCTCGATAAAGCCACCGACACGCTTGGCTAATGGAGAAAAAAGAGGACGCGCGTTAACCACGCGACCGATCGATTTCTCGCGGAACGATCGATTTTTAGCGTGTCCGTTAGTCGAGGTATTAGGGACACTCTTTTTTTTCCCGGCCACCCTGTATAAAAGTTCTCCACGCGTTCCTACGCTCGCGATCGCGAAGCCCGCGCTTCTTTCTCGCCTCCTGCATTCCGCGACGCGCCTCGTTAGACTTGACACGTATTACTTTGCATTCTCATAAGCATTATGCCGCCCTGCCTTTCTCATAGCGCCGGGCAGATCGCGCGATCGCCCGAGATCGCCGCGACCGGGCATCCAGAGCTCCGCCATCGCGCCAGGACCCACGAGATTCTAAGAATTTTCCCAGCCGGAAGAAATTTGCCGCTAGAACCAGGGCTTCTACGCACGCGCCACCGACGGCAAAATTAAAAACTACTAAGCAACGTTTCCTACCTTCCAACTACGTTTTTCCAGCAACGCGAGCAATTAAATTCGAATTATTTTTCTAAAAACTATTTTCCTAGAGACTAGGGAAAAGAAAACTTCTCTTCTAGTGAAATTCCCCTAGCTCGATTTCTCATTGGTAGTTTCGAGGATTTCATTTTTATATGGCGGACGAAAGTACGGGAGAAATAGAATTTATATCGGTTTTGGGTATAATTTGTGTTCACGAGACTGTAGCAATATAGCAGCGAAGAATCAGAAACTGAATTTCGACGTTCTAATTCTAATTACGAATTATGGGGCAACGAGAATGCGTAAGACACGAGAGTGATATGGTCGACCGATTAATTTCTAACATAAACAGAACGCCATCCCTCGGTAGTAAGCATACCTTCGCGTGCGCGAGGCGTGCGCAAGTTTCATTGACTCTCGAGTTATTGAACGTGTTCCATCGAACTACAAGCTGTCCGCTGCATTACGAGTGCGTGCACGGGGAACAAAGGTCAACGAAACTCACCTGACCGAAGGATATTCGAGTTCGTCGAATGAAATTGTAATAAGGAAAAGAACGGAGCGATGCTCGAACGATCCTTGGAGATGCGTTGCTAGTTTAGACCGCGTCCCGGGCGAAAATCGTATTCCACTCTCGTTCCATTTTGTCCCGTGGCTAACCGGTGGCGAACTTACGAAACGTAACGACGGTTTCGCAACTCCGGCCATCGAGCGAGAAATATCACTAGCCGCGAGAAATTACTTTTACTCGGTACAGATGAGTCTGTCCACTCGGATCACGTGGTCGGGAAACACGTGACAGCATTCGAGTTATTAGCGATTAGAACATCGAGCACGATTCCACGCGAGCATCGTCCGCGATTCCTTTTTCGACCATTTTGAAAGTTGCCTTTCCTCGTGTACGAAAATTCCCGGTAGTTCTTATCCGAGATCGGATGACGATAGATGATCGCTATATAGAGGTAGACTCGTTGAATTGGTTCGTTGAAAGTACCGAATTTAAACACGACGGTTCGTGCTTAGAATCCCACACGAGTCGATTAGTCAGCGTAGTTAGCAATTGTCAAAAGGTCGGAGCTCGTTACGTACAAGGTGAATCGAAATCGATTCCCGCTGACGACGCAACCCTGGAATTTCGCGATCTTATTGTTTAAACGTTATTCTCTTCCTGTTTGGTCGATTACGTAAAAAAGTTACGATAAGCAAGCTTCCGTCTGTCGTGTATTTCGTAATTTCTTTCTTCCTTTTATTTCGATATTTTTATTCGCGGTGGACTCGTTTTATCGACGTCGCGAAAGTGAAAGATGTTTCCTACGAATATTCCCGCCAGCAGGATTAGACGGAGAGGGGGAAGGGAAGCGAGACAGAGAAAGAAAGAGCTTTCAAATCCACGATTATTTCCGCACGGCGAAGCCGCGCTCTGTCAACCTGCGTATTTCACTGCCCGCGATACAGACACGGAACAGACAGAGAGACGAAACAAGAGGGAGCAATAAAAAAGAGAAAGGTATGATAATTACCAAGGAGTCGTCCCCATTGTCAGCGCTCATAGCCCACCGCTAGCGCGAGGGAATTCGAGAACGTCGTCGTGGTCGTCGTCTTCGGTCCTCTTCGCCGCCCTTCCGGTAGAACAACCGTGCGCTCGTCATTCTGTGGCGTATCCTAAATTTGCAGGACACTCAAAGGACTCGTTAACAGACAGCAATGGTAGCGCCTCGCACCTGTCATCTGGCATTGCAGCAACGACGCGGCTTGTCGTACAATGGTTAACGTATATAGAAGGGACGAGATAGAAAAGGATCGAATCGAGAAAGGGCAAACGTAAGAGTGGGAAACAGAGAGAGAGGACACTGACACACGAAACGTCAACGACACTAGCACGCCGTCGTATTAACCGTTCTCACGAAAGCGTTGCGAATTTTTGAATTACGCCATGAACACGCGTCTCGCACCACACGCCACTTCCATTACTTTCGATCCCTCGTATTCGCGTTTCACCGACCGGACAAGAGAGAAAGATCGAATAATAAATTTTACCGCACCAAGAAAACTAACCTCCTCACAGGCTCACGGGCAGGCGCTAACTTCCAGCGGCACTCAACTCGACAACTTGCTAATGCTTTCCCTTCCATCGCTTCGGCCCCCACTCCATACGGCGTACGAACGACAGATAGAAACGATTCCTTTGGAATCGAACTATCTCGCCGTACGGAGTGTCCCTTGTATTACCGTTTCGTACCTCTATCGTTCGTGCCAGCCACAGTTTCCGAGATAAGTTACGATTCCGAATATATCGCGAATAAACGTCGCTGCTACGCGCACAGGATTCCCGCTACGGACGCCATATTGACGTTGAATATGCGCGCGCATCTACAGGCCGAGGCATGAAATTTGAATAATTTAGCGGGATATTTAAATTACCTTAGTGAATATACGTCGATTTAGACTCGTGCAGATGTTTCGCTGTTACCGATTTCCAATATTTTTTTCTAAACTTTCCTCTCTCGTTCTTGCCAGTAGTAATAAATACACGTTGGTCTTCTGTAATTTGCATATTATCGCAATGTTAAATAAGAACAAGTACATATAAATATAGAAAGAATACCTTTACGCAATATTATTTGTGGCCGGATATACGTATGCAACTAAAGTGATTCATACGACAGGATTGTATCACGGTGTTTTAGGTACGATATATCGGAAGGAATCACATAAACACATTTTTTGCAAACTACTTCCAACCTAATAACAACGTGATAAATAAAGGAACTTGATAAGGATGGTATTCGAGTATAAAAGGACGAAATAACAAAGAACGAAAAAACGCACACGTAATGAGACAACACATTACACGACAGACAAGAGACTTTTTCACAACATTTAATAAAACGCTATCAACTATGTATGCCTTTTTTTACTCAAATAATCTAAAAGTTACTTACATACGTGTAGTTTATATGTATATTTATGTCATACGGAGGTGTCACATCCCTCGCATCGTATCAACACGTTAAATCTACGTCCCTTTCGTTTCTTCTATTTTCGAAAGTCAGATTTCGTTATCATTGTACACTGACAACAAACGTAACGATTTTAGGCACCAATCAGCGACGATGAACACAGTGTAAAACACGGAAATAGAAGATCGTCAAAAGTGCTTGGGAGCTGACACGTCCAATAAGTATGTATAAATTTAATACTATCGTCGTTATCATTGTTTTCTTATGCGTAATATTTCAATTAATCGTGGGTATAGCGATCAACGTCCCGGGATGCTAAAGAGGTCTGTGTCTGAAAATCTACAAGGTGAATAACAATGGGTGTGCAAAAGAACGCCTGAACAAGCCGTATCTGCCGTCAGACTTTGTTTATCGTAGTCATTCGAAAAATCAAAAAAACTTCTGCGCGGGTTTGTTGTTTGTATCGTTCGCGTTAACGCTGACCTTGAAATTGCGAATGAAGAACGAAAAAGAACGGTCGAGTACGAGAACATCTCGATAACCGACATGAGCTATACTTGCATCGAAAAATGTTCACATTTCCTTGTATATTCGTAAAATGTGCGTGATATTCGAAAGGGGCCTTGCAATTTCAAGGTGTCGTCGTGTAAAAGAATGAAAAAAAATATACGTGGGCTTAACGTTATGTGTTCTGTAGACAGCGTGCGCTTGGTATGCCAACCAGCCATAATTTCTCTAACATTGGGAACATGTATGTAACCGCGATGCGTGTGCATTCGTTGCCACGCGAGGAAAAAACTATTCTCTATCGTCAATTACCATCATCTGTTGATTGAAAAACCATTCAAACTCGATCTCTTACTAACTGGCATAAAAAAGTCCCATAATTTATTTCCTTAACCTACGATCCTGGCAAACTGCATTTTCACATATGCACGACGGGTATCACAATCGCTCACATTTCGTGGTCGTATATAAATGTGTTTCGTGTGTACATGCATGTGCCTTTCCTTCTATCCGATCAGCGAAACGAACACCGTTCGGTTTCGCTGTCGCAATAAATACTAAGTTTTCCGCCATCGCCGCTGTCGCATGGATCTGAAAACTTGTTTTTCTTTTTCTCTTTTTTCTTTTTTAAAAAGACGCGTGACCCGCGATCCTACGATTAAAGTATTAAAGTTAAGTATTATAAACTGCAATCTAAGCTGATCCCATATGTTGTTTCTTGGTCACAACCTCGTTGAATTTCTTCCGTAATGGAGTGTTACGGAACCCTTGCCGTTTCAATGAGACTGTTCATTGAGATTTTCGACGAAGACCATCCCTCGAAAATCCTTCACCGTATTGGCGGCCCCGGATTCTCTTCGCGTTTATCGAGAACATCGTCGTCTTATCCACCCGATCGATTACACAATCGACAATCTTATAATAAAGGAACAAGGACAATGTCTCAAGCTTCCATCCCGGGCGGACGCACACGTATCCGTACAATTTTTTCTAACGACATCCACGGGACTCGTCGTAGGTAGCCGCAAGTGATTCTCGAGGAGAACCTCGGTTCTGTTCGAAAACCACATAAACAATTTACTCGGATTTATCTAACGCATGGAAGGTATAGCCGGTCAAAGCACCAGCATATCCTTCCTTGTCGGGATACTTGCTCCTTATTTTTTTTCCTTTTTTTCTTTTTCATTTACCGGCGAGGCTTTCGACGAAATTGAAACTCGCCGAAATTACTCTATTCTTTCGTTATAAATCACTATGGGTCAAAAACGTTTGACGGACTTGCACATAGACAATTTTTCGTATCTACAGTTTGACCTAAGCGGATACAGTCTCGACCATTGACTTTTTAATAATTTCTCCAAAGTTTTCGTCGCACTCTTCCGTACTTTCCGACTGTTGCTCGTTACCTTGGTTCTTTTCTACCTCAGTCTTGGCTCCGTTCCCATGATAAGTACCGTGCGCGGGAGGCTCCATCTCACCGTAATACGAATATCTACCGGACAAAAGTTCCGAAAACGGTTCTAATTTACCCATCTGCTGAAAGGGCGAAGCTAGTTTCGTAGCTGGAAGAGTGTTGTCCGGGATGGACCTGGCAGTTCCCCTGAATCGATCCGGTGTCCTGTCCATAAGGCGCATAGTGTGAGAACCCTGGATTTCCTGGCACCGTTTGGAATTGCGGCTGAAATTGCACCCTAGATGTAGAAGGAAGGTTAACGTAAGGCTGATAATCCTGATAAGTAGGCTGTTGAAAGTTTACTCCGGCACTTGTTTGGCCTGAGAATGTTTGAAAAGCTTGACTAAACTCAGGATGAAGTTTCCTTTGAGGTCCCTGCGTACCATCGACAGTGTCTTCGCTAGGATAACAATCATCTCTAATGGCATAAAGATCCAGGCTATCCTCTCTCGTGCCCGGTACTTCCGGCTGACAATTGGACCCGCCATCCCTAGCGTCGTGACTCTCGTAGTGCAGCGTTGTGAAACCGCTGGCGCTCAGACACGTTTCCGGACTCCTGTTTTCCATTACGGATCCTAAATTGATTTCTCTTAACGGACTTCTACCGTTTTGATTGTCGGAAGCATCATGATCCGCACCTTCTTCCTCTCGTTGCTTTTTCTCCAACTCTAATCGCATTAGAGTGTGAATGAAATGCGTTCGTACTCGTACTGGATTAAACTCGATCCTGCCTGAACTATTAGCACAACCATCCCGAGTACATCCGCATGGAAAACCCGCTCGATCAACCTATTGACATACATTATACGTATCGTGTCATTCTTTGTTTCTTGTAACAATCTGCAACAACTTTCTATCGTATACCGCGCGTTCGCGTACTAACCTGGCACTTTACATTGGCTCTACTGCAAGGACAGCTTTCCGGATCGCAGTATCCTTTACATCCGCAACCACAATGTTCTCTGCTAGCTCTAATGTCACGGCACTCGTCCTTCTCTACCGCATCTATTCTACGTACACCTGCTGCTCTAAGCAAAGCTCGTCTCTGCCACGTAGGCACGGGCTGCAGGAAGTAATAACTATCGATGTCCAGCTCCTCGTTATCACTTTGTTCCTCGTCCGTATCGTCGCTGGGATCCTCGGAGCTCGAGGCTGCTTCGGATACGCAATTTGCAGCACGCTCGGAGCGCAATTGAGCTAGTCTAGCACGATGAATTCGCCTCTGTTCAGCAGCGTGCTCCGATAACGAGAACCGTTCGGCATGAGTGTGCGTCGGGCTCATGCCAAGAGTGCTGCCACCCTGAGAAGGATAAATCGATTTTAGCATGCGTTACATCTGCGACACGTGATCGTATCGATATTACGATACTCGTACATTTCCTTCGCGACCAATTAATATCTCTAGAGCGTTTAAAATCGTTTACCTGAGAAGGCACACAAGTGAAACCCTGTGCCCTAGGAAAATAGTAAACAGTCACGGCGTCGAACTGAATATTGCGTTTCTTTTTCATAGATTCGTCCGCCGTATTGCTTCTCTTTGGACTAGGAGCTCCCTGCATGCAATCCACCAATCTTCGTTTCAGATTGCTCTTTGTAGGACTGGAAAAGTTCGTCAATGGCGTCTGCAGTGTACCGGGTACGCTCGTATTCGCCACAAAGCTGTCCTCCAATTGATTCACGGCTGAAAGGAAACAACATCGTTCTTTGTAATTCCTCTCGGCGCATGTTCTCCTCGCATTCGGTGGAATCGATTAAAACGACAAATATTTTTATAATACCGCGACACATAGCAAGCTACTATTCGCAAATAAAAGGTACAGCGAAAAGAAACGTCCTTTTTCCCGTCATTTTAAAACCAGTTTTCGTGCGACTGCCGTCGAGTAAACGCGTCAATATTGGTATTATCTAAAAGCTTTGTTCATACTATTACTCTTTCCATTCCATTTATTTATTTTATTTCCACCGATACTAAAAATCTGAAGACCAGAGATCGCAAAAGTCAAGCAGTGTACTTTGTTATTCGTATTCGATAAAGAATTAAACTTGGAATAATTTGAAATCGGCGACAGAAAAATCTTGAGGATAAATGGACATCGAGAAGACCGGAAAAAATCGTCAAAATCATCGGTGAAATCATCTGCGTAAAACCATTAAGGAATCGGTCCCAGGACATCGGTTGTCTCTGATCAACAATCGCAGACGAATCGCAATCTACCTCGCGCAATTAGAAAGATTAAAGACTGAATTACTGATCAAACTATCCGTGTTCCAGTGAATAATCAATGGCGCATCTCGCAGTACGTTTCTTTTCGCTCTACCCCGTAGATTTTCATAGAAATCGGTAAATGTCTCGAAGGACGATGCTCGCGAATTACCTTTTTCTTTGTCGGAAAGAATATCATCGGGTATCCTATCCAAGAAAGAAGTCTCGGAATCGCTTTCTGGGACTGGTGGAGGCCCAGGATCACCGGGGATCTCGCTTCCCAAACCAGAATCGCTTCCATCCGATCTGACTTCGTCCCGCGTGCCGGTAGCAAGCGCCAGGCTCTCGGCTGAGTCTTCGGTGAAGGTTTCCGGTCTTTCCGGCTCCAGCCTCGATATGATCTCCGGATTAATGTCGACGCAACATATGGACTCGTTCTCTTGACACGATATTTGGTCGGAAACGGCGTCATCGTCGCATTCACGGAGACGCACGTTCGTCATGGGCGATATCTCAGAGCTATCGGAGCCGGTCTCGGTTTCCGTTTCCGTATCGATGGTTTCCGATACATCGGCGGTCGGTTCCAGCACCTCTTCCGGCGAGCTAGGTGTCGTTTCGGACGAATCTAAATTATTCAACGGCTGTAAACTCTTTCTGGAGGACAAAGGCGAGGAGAACACGACCTCCTCGTTCTCTTTCAGCTTGTCTATAATCGCTCTCTGTGGCGACCCTTCCGTACTAGACTTTTGCACCGTGGACGTCCTTATCGTCTTTGGCGAGGCTGCTACCCTCTGCAAAATTACCTTACATTCTTTTATGGACATAATGGGAGATGATTGTAATTTGGCTTGTGCCTTTTTCGAATTAGATACTACGGGAGAAACGTCCACCTGTTTCTCCATGTGGTCCTGTGACTCAGTCTTTTGGACACATTTCTTGCCATAAGTGCACCTTCGAACGAAACACGATTCCTTCGGCGAATTCGTGGTATCAGTCCTTACGTTCACGTTAGTACAGCCAGTCTCGCACGCGACGTTCTTCTTCGGAATCTTCTTAGTCGCGATGATCGTCGCGCGCTTCTTGTCTTTCCGATCAAGCGTCAAGCCACACGTCAGATCAATGTGCTCCAGCTTAACCATCAAACGGGGCAGCGAATTTTTGATCAGTTCGAGCGCCTGCTTGCTCGGCACAGTGCATGAACCCTTGGTAGGCATAACGTCGTTGCACGAGTACCCCTCCTCCTCGACAGGTTCCTCGCACTGTTTCGGCTCCTTGCACTTGCTGAGGTTCCTCTCGGGACTTTCGCGCGACAGCGAGCAGCACGAGTCCTCGTCGATGAACGGGACCGCGTATTCGAGCTTCTCGCTGGGCTCTACCAGCGCCGCCTTCGCGCTCGCGTTGGTACGCTCGCCTGCCGGCGACGTCGCTGTTCCGCAAACCCTGTGCTCCGTCGACTCGGTGCAAACTATCGCCTCGGAATTGCCATTCATTTGGAACGAACCGTCCAAGTTTACATTCGACGTTATCCTCCAGCCACTGGTGAAGGACTCGTTGAGATTCCTGTTATTCCGCGAGATGAACCGGCTGTTAACGTCGTCGTCGAACAAGCACGAATCCGAGGACAAGGATATCTCGCCGAGTGTTCGTTCTCGAAGACTCACCAACACCGGCGAGATCCTCCTCACGTCGCTTCGTCCTTGGTTCGCTTCGTTTGGCGGAATTTCCACGCCTATCCGCTTGATCTCAGCATTGATCGGCAGAAAATCACTCGCTGGCCTTTTCCTGCATATCGGCGACGAGGTGATGAATTCCTCACCACCCGCCGTCACTTTCGAATCCTCCGTTTGTTCCTCGGCACACTGAACCGACGTTAACGACGTCGACATCGTCGACGATGTCGATGTCGCTGTCATCTTCGAAGAATTTCGTTCCTCCACGGATTTTTTCGTCTTTTCTTCTATATCCTCACCTCCGCCCGTGTCTGCATTCGCTTTCTCGATCACGATCTTCAGCTCCTTCTTGCTCCCATTCTCCATCCCGATCTTGGTCTCCTTCTGAGTCCCCATCTTGGTCTCCTTCTGGGTCCCGATCTTGGTCTCCTCGTTCCTATTCTCCATCTCGATTCCAATCCCCTTCTCGTTCCCATTCTCATTCTCGTTCTCGTTCTCATCCACCTTCGTATTCGCGTTCGGATCTGCACCAGCGTCTGCACCTCCGGCGTCCTCTTGCTTCTTACTCTTGCCCAGCTTCAGACCCATGGAGGAAAAATCTAATTGACTTTCGTCCGGCAGAGAGCAGCTCGTAGTCTCGAGGGAAGCGCACGAAATCTCGCACGATTCTATACTGACGGATCCCTGGTTGTTATCGGCGGACCTTGCGGCATCGTCCTCGGGGTTAGTCGAGGACTCGACGTCGTCTTCGGCATCCCTTGATACTCTGCTGCTGGCCGTGGTCGACGGTACTGCCCTCGACGCAGCGACCGTTCTCACTGACTCTGTCGTAGTGGAATCTTCTTGGGCCTCGACAAGACGGTCCTGGGCCGAAAACGATTCCATCGGAAGCGTTCGATCTGCGGTGAAAGAAACAGAGAAATGCGTTAAACTTACATCAGCATCGTCTATGCATCCGCGCGAAATATTCGAAGGAAGATAACGAATCGGGAGAAACGTATCTTTATTCGTGGAATCACCCCGTTGCCGATGGCGGTAGGAAACTCGAATGTGGCGCAGAGGTCCCATCACGGATTCGACGGAGGAATGGCGAAAAGAAAATGGGGAACGAAGACCAGCAGCAGCAGTAGCAGCGGTGACAGCAGTAGCAGGAGGCCTACGTTCGATGGACGTGTCACGACACACGGCACCGGGGATCGATTATTCATCGCTGTGTCATTCCGTTAAGCGGACTATTCTCGTTTCGAGACACCCTTCCGAGGTAATCATATTCTCCGCGTTGCTTCTTTTCCTCGAAATATCATAAGCAAAGGGGGGCGCAGGGGAGGACGGAGGGATCAATAATCCGCGCGCCGATAGCGCGCACCGGTAAACCGTAGAAAGACACGGCGTAACACGCGTCGAACGAGGATGAAATAAATCAGGCATATTATCCGCGGTACGAGGCCCCGCGGTTTCGTCCCCGCGAATCGAAACGTCAAGGATGCACGAAGGATGCGCGGTACCCGGACCCCGGCGCCTCTCATCTGTCCATATCTTTCTTATCGCGCCACCGAATATAAAAGGGACTCTGCATATAATCCTGGCCGGAGATTATTGATTCAAAGCTGGCAGGAAAAGAGGGGAGGAGAGGGGGGAGGAGGGGAGGTTTCTGTCTGCCTTCGGTTACCATGCGCACCTTGTACCCCTTATATACCCCAGAAAACTCCGATGACTAAACCAGGTGTAAAAAGGGTCCTATCTTCCAACCGTTTTTCTCCTCTCGTAATATTTTCTTTTTTCTCTCTTTCTCTCTTTCTCTCTCTCTCTTTCTTTTTTTCGTCTTCCTCTCTCTTTCTCTCTCCTCGATCTTTCCGTCTTTTTTCCCCGATTTCTTACGATTTACTCTCGTTTGTCTTTTTACCTTCGAGCCGCACGATCTTCTGCCCCCTCCACCACCTTCCGCACCACTCTGTCCTCTCGCAAAGAACCTCCGAACACGAGGCTCGACCTCGGCAATCTCTTATCTCGGCAAAGCCTTTAAGTCGTCTCGCAACTCCAGCTGCCTCCATTCTGCCCGCGAACCCGTCCGTCCCTGAGATCCGTCGCCGAGCGATCGGCGTCCTCCATGGAGGACAACCGTACGGGCCCCGAGCTGCACAGCATTCAACAATGTGTCTGGCTGCCCGCGAGACTACTGCGCGAACAACGGCTGCCCCCTCGGCCGAACGATCCCGATTTTACCGACGAGTTCCAGCCTACGAGTAACTCTCTCGAAGCTACGAGAGTGCGAAACGTTTGCCGGAGAGACGCGACGCGAGAAGGAGTCACGCAGATGGCCGTGCAGCAGCACGATGGTCGACGAACATCCGACGTGTCGATGGTCGTGTGTAATCGTGCTCTAAAACGAGGCAAAGAACTTTCCAAGGAGGACGGCGACGACTTCGAACGATTTCGGTTTACGCGTCTTTCGAGTATACCGAACACCAATAGAAGTAATGCGACAAAGTCGAGAATTAAACGTGGAACGTTTCAACGGAAGACAGACATGTCGTCGTGGCTCGGAACGGAACGGGTCGAAGAGCAAAAGCGGCTGTGCGAGAGAAGAACGGAGAGCAGAGAAGTAGCAGCCTTCTCGACGAAAGATCCAAAGCAAACGCGCGAGAACGAGACGAGCAGAGATGCTCGTTGTTCGGACTGAAGCGGGAACTAGCTGGACGCTCACGAACAGACTGACTGAATATTCCCAGAAGGAGAGAGAGACGAGACCCGGCCTCCTCTCTCGTTCGACGATGACGATGATAATACTCGATGCGAGAAAGCGAGGGAAATATGCCTCTAAGTGCGGAGAGTATACTCGTAGAGAAGGAAGAAGCGAAGCGGAGGCGCGTGCGTCGCGTTCGACAGCTCGGAGCAGAGTGAACGGAGCTACCTCGACGCCGCGTCGATGACGATTCCGTTCGGCGCTGCCGCTCGGTCAACTTCGGCTCGACTCGGCTCGCCTCGGCTCTCTCCTCCGCACTACCAACGAAGGGTATACGCGTGCTTTATACATAGCGGTATGCGTGTTTGTGAATGTGTAATACAGTGTATGGTGCTACGAAACGCCGTGGTTCTCAACGACCGATCGAACGGAATTCAACTCGCCGCGATCAATCTACGCCTCTATTTTCGGCCTTTTTCCCAAAACTTTCCTACCCGCGGGTGCACCAACAGCCGCCATACAGTATTTATTCCGACAGAGTTAAACGAAATCTACGCGTCGACGGAACGATGCTCGAAACGGGCTGCCAGCTTTTTCGAACGTTCGCTCATTGATTACATCGGTGAAATTCCGTCGCCTTTCTAGAGTAATTCTATTTTCTACCCACTCTTACACACGGCCAGCCGGGACACGCGACGTTGCTTACGCCTACGCGTACACACGCGTGTAAAATTAACAATCGGTATTATTAACTTTCCTACATTAACTATACGTAAGTCCCATCCCTACTTCTTTTTTCCTCTTTTTTTTTTCTCTTTTAATCAGTGAAATAACGGAACTTATATTAATCACGGTCGAATCATGGTAGATAAGGAACAGTAACAATGTTAGCTGGCACGTAGCTCGCAAGCACCATTCGAGTATATATGGCCGAGGTTTTTTCCGAGATCAAAGTATCGGTTGCAAAAGTCGAAACAGTTGGAAAAGAATCGAAAGCGTCGTAGACGTGTCGCGATTCAACGGCTAGACCCGTCCAGTTATTTAAATTAACCTCGTTACACTTGTTCGCGGACAGTCGACGATTATCGAGCATCGTCGGTGAAAAGCTCGTGGCTGTGGTTCCCTTGCACGCGTAACACTGTATGCGACGACAATTCCGAGCCTAATCGGGAGAATTCTAGGCCTCTCTCGAGCACCGATTCGAGAGTTCTTATAAACAGGAAATGGGAAGATCGCGCGTAACTGCGGAGAATCGCCGCGTATTATCGATTCGAACGATTGACCAGCTTCGGTGAAACATCGCGTGATAATGTCCGTGTTTGTCCAACAGACTACGCGATATAATATCTCGAAGCGTTCGGGACCACCACGCGATCGATCGCGTTCGAGAAACGATTTGCAAAAACGACAATCATGAAAACCACTGATACAGACGATATATTCGCGTTATACCAAACAGGTTTCCGTCGTTACATAAGCGAGTGTACACCAAGTGACTATATCGCTCTTATCATTACCCTTGCATTCGACTTTTATGCCGGATTCGCACCGGAGCTCGTCGTGATCCAGAAACAAATCACGCATATTACGTATCGTTGTCGCACGGTAAGCGGTTCCAGTAACGGAACGAAAGAGAGGTTAGGAATCGAAGACACACACCGTTCGGGTCTAACTTCGCGACGGTTAAACGAGACCCAGTTTATCGTCACCTAAATATTCCCGCAGCCATCCGGATGTTTAAAAATTCATGCGCGCAACGCGATCATCCGGTTCTTACCCCGACGTAATGTATTTTAAAAGTGGAAAGTCGTGCATAGGTGGCGCTGCTCGGTAGAATTGGCGCGGTATTGTCTACGAGTCTCCAGCTCTCTCTTTCGCGATCTCTCTTCTCTCCCCGTCCTATCCCTCGTCCTCTCTTCCGCCGCTTCACTTTCCTTTCTTCGTTTCTCGCATTTATATTTTTCTTTCTCTTTGTCACACGCACACACGCGTCCCTCTCACGGACGGTTCAACGAACGAGAGAGCGTGGCGCTTGCGCGGGGCTGCACGACTGCCGTAATTGTCGCTACGCTGCGAAAGTAGAAGGCGTACAGCGACAACCCTGTGCTCGTCTCCTTTCAGTCTTTCTCTCTGTTTTTTCCTCCCTGGTTTTCCTTCCTTTTTCCCCTTCCCTCTTCTTCGTCATCGTCTTTTTTCCGCAAGGAAGTAATGGTACGTTCATGCCGCGACAAAATATCAAAAACGGCCGTGGCTGTGCGAAAGAAGGAAAAAAGAAATTCTCAGCCCGCCGCGCGACCGACACTCGCGTTATATCTTCTTTCTCTCGATGGCTTCCGTACGAAATTTTCGCCGCTGCATTAACCTACAGAAGGAGCCCGGAGACTCGATCCGGTTACCACGGTGCTTCGATTCTCGTCGTCGCTTTGCAGATGTTCGCGTTACGGAATGTTACGTTCAAAAATTTACGATCTCCCTCTATCCACAATTTTACCGAATTACGTTAAAAAGCAGAAAGAAAAAATTTTACGGAAAAAAATTCAAGACATTTTTTCTCATTTATAACCTCACTTTTTTAATTTTATTCCCGTACCATTTCTCATCTACGCGACGCACACGCTGCATCGTCGTCGATCTCCGACGAGATAAGATAGGAAAGAAACGAGAGTCGAAGTAAAAGTCGACTATACTCGACTATACTCGACTATACTCGACTATACTCGACTATACTCGACTATACTCAGATTCAACGAAAAGGTCACTCGAACGATCCGTTTTCATAATTACTCACTATCGCGAACGGTACTGGTCCAAAAAGTGAAACACGATCCATGCTAATTAAACTTCATCGAAATTTTACGTCTGCGTCACGGAGTCTCGTTAAACGTTTCGACGTATCGCGACGAACGGTCGAATGATAGGTTATGTAAGCACATAATTGAGCAACGCCGAAGTTGGCCCGTGTTCGATTTCTTTCCACCCGCGTGGCCGGTTGTCGTTTCGATTGAATATCAAGGTCGCGTTCTTGAGCCACATCGCGAAATTTTGCACGTCTCCCGGACGATGTTTACTCGACCCGGTGCACGCCGGAATATGCCATACGTCGCGACTCGTAAGCGCACACGCGACGAACAGGTGCGTGCAAACTGTGGACACACGAGTCGCGAGAATCGCAATTGTGCCGCTTCCTTGGCCAAACCACCCAATTTGCGTTACGTTTATTCCCGTTTCTTCGTCGCAATTTCCGTCTAATGATTAAATAATTCAGCCGAGTACCGTTGCTGCCACTGCACGGAAGCTTCGTTTTCACTGGCCCGTTGGAACTGTTCGAAGACGATAAACAAACGCTGTATTAATCGACCGTGACGCTCGGTCGACGAGTAAAGATACCGTGCTGCCATACGAAACACCCAATAACCTCTTCCATCCGCGTTAATCGAATCGTTTTTCTTAAGTATTCGAAATCACGGTCCGTTGGCCTTTTTAAATAAAACATCGGCTTTTCTTTGAAGCCCGTCGTCGTGGGTTCGATTAACTCCTCTCCTGCCCTTCGCTGGAAGCCGACACGTGCCTCGGTTTCCGTAGGAAATTGCCTAACGTCCCTGCCGCTCTCTGCGCAACTGCGAGCGCGCAGATTTTCAGGAGCGAAGACGTTCAAAAGGGACAGTTTGATCGGGCCTTGATACAAATTTTCATGAAAAAGAACCGAAAGCGCGGCTTGGCCCCGGGTTTCGTCGGCTTTTCTAAACTCTGCCACGAAGGGGACGGGAAGAAGCGAACAAGGCAGAAGAGAGAGAAAGAGAGAGAGTAAGAGAGAAACGAAGACGGGGCATATTAAAACGTCATGAGAGGGAGTGAGACGCAAGATCAAAGCAGTTTTACAACACCGGCAGACGCTGCGATATTGCTCCGTCGTGCTTTCTGCTTTCTGGGAAAGGTCCGAAGCGCGCTCTCTCTCTCCCCCCACTCTCTCATTTTCTCTTTCCCGCCCTGCTCGCGCCGCTACCCTCTTCCACCTACACGTTCGCGCAACTTTGAACACGACCTACACGAACACACCCTCTTTCTACCAGTGCCCTGTATACACTCTCGCGCCCAGTCTCTGTCTCTCTTTTCCTTGTCTACCCTCCTCTCTCCCACGCTTCACCATTTTCATCAGTAGTATTACTCTCTCTCTTTCTCTCCTTCTCGTCACCCCTGGTCTATTCGACGTGCGTCCTCCTCTCTCGCCAGCCACTCACACAAATTCGTCGGTTCTATTTCCACGTCTCGCTCGATCCTTCGGTCGCTCCCATCTAACCCCGTCTCTCTTACACCTACGCTCGCCTCCGATCACTGTCTCTGTCCCACCCGCCGCTGACTGCAACGCCATCTCTGTCAACCGTTCGTTCTCTCTCCAGTTGCATCTCCTGCTCTATCTCCGTTTCTACCCAGCCTC